TGTGTGTGTGTGTGTGTGTGTGTGTGTGTGTGTGTGTGTGTGTGTGTTCTTTTGTGCTTGTTTAGAAGAGCATTTCTTGTGAGGAAAATTGGATAAAAACGAAACACAAGCGGTTTAACATAATAACTATCATTTTGATTTGGTTTAGTGTTCTATACTTTCTGCTCCATGAAATTACACATTACCATGTTTACTTCAGTATAGTTACTGAACAGTTTTTAAACCCTTTTCATTCAGAGTTGGTCATCATTGTTTTTGCTGCTAATGGAAGTCAAACATTTAACCAAATCCGTTGGCCAAACTGCCTCCACAAGGATTCAGATCACAGACAGTTCTTTAACTTATCATCCTTGTTTCTGTATGAGGAGGCGTATTAATGCCCAACTGACAACAGCCAGGTAATGCTTCACTTTTAGAGCTGAGAGCAGAAAGAAAGGGAGAGGAGAACTACTGCAGAATGACAGAAAATGTCACCTTCCCCAATTTATTTAGATTCTTCTCATCCAGTTACAGAATCCACATGTTGACTGTATTAGTTTATGGCTCATTATGTATGTTTGTCAACTTATCTTGTCCCCCTTTTCTCCTTCCCATGTGATCTTCCATCCAAAAACATGATTCTTTTACCATTTTACTAGTTGACATGAGAGATTGCAACCTCAATGAATTTCCAATTAAATTTGAAAAGTCCTGCATTTTTGAGATTACATGATTACATTTGATCATGAAAACACATAGAAATCTGATGACATACATAAGTACTATAGAAATGATTCATATTGTCTTTAGCTCATGCAAGCAGAAAGGGCTTTTAACATTTATTTCTAATATACCAAACTGAAAACATGGATGTCTTTGCATAATTAATTAAATTGTGTTTGAATAATGATGACCTGCCTTTTCCTCCTCCGAGCACCTAATTAAAGAGAGATGAATTGGATTACTATAGACAGGGGAGGCAAATAGAAATTATATTGATGTTTAATCTAATCTTCCTCCCATTTGCAAAACACATCAGAAGATGTTTTTTCTGTTTCAGAGGACCCGTTATTCAAATGGACAAAATCACAAGCACCTTCCCTCTGCTAAGCTTTAACTAAGATTACTTTTCTGTGTCTTTTGAATGCAAAACACAGTCGGGAAAACATCGCTGTGTATGCAAGTCTGGTTACTTGAATATACTGATAGCATCTCTGGATCAGACAGCTCAGCAGATCTAAGTGACTCTCGTGTGATCTACTACTAATGTCAACAGATTTTCCTCACCACACCCTGGCCAGGATAAATACTGTATATCAAGCACTGTGACAGATCCAAAGAGGTTTCATCCTGGCATTACTCTAATGGTACCATCTCATCTCTCATTTGTCTCTGGTGTTGTCTAGGTGGATATGTACCAGCCCCACTGACTCCTCAACAAGGTACCAAACACCCACCTCCTCACATCTCTCCATGCACCCAAAAACACCACATTAGAAAGTGATAATAACTAGTACCGGTCATAAAAGTGTCCCTTGCACCTCAGCCTATTTTCCAATTTCTCTCTCTGCTCGTTGGCAACAAGTCAGATCATTTGGATGAGATTGGAAAAGGGTGGGTTGTCACTGTGTGTGCTTGTCAGTGCAGATGGCACAGCACAACCAGTACCTTGAACTCATGATAATCGGCATTTTCCTGAACATCTGAGATTACGGACGGTGGGATTATTTCACAGAAACACGTCTGGTTTCTTAGATAACTACAGTCCCCGCTTTCATCTCTCACAGTATCTGATGTATCGACAGCTTTCGAGGACACCTTTGTAAATGTACTATAGGCCTATGTATGAATGAATGAAATTGATTTCCCTCAACGGTTTGAGACCCAGTTTCCTCCCACAGCCCAAAGACATGCATGTCAGGTTGATCGATTACTCTAAATTGCCAGCACAGTAGTTGTGAATGTGAGCGTGAATGGTTGTCTCTGTGTCAGCCCTGTGATTACTATTTACTAGCATTGCTGGTTGTGAGATGTGGTTGAAAGGTCTGGGAAAAGTTAGTAAGTGGACCTTAAAGGGGAACTTTCCCCTCTGGTTTCCATCAATAAATCCATCTGTAATTTAAAACACAGCCCCTTCTGTCTCTAGTGTATAACAGCTTCTCTGGGAGGCGGGTGGTACAGTATAGTTGCTGTGTGCGTGCAGTGGTCAAGCGCCACACATCCACTCGTCGTAAACTCCACTCAGCCGTAACAGCAAAGCCAGGAGACCTCTTGTGGACATGACAAGTCATTAAACATTTAAATAGCATTAGGGAATGTTTAATTAAAGTAATTAGCTGATTCATTTGTTTTTTGTGTTGTTCTGCAGCCAAAGCAGCCAAGTACGGCCAATTGCAGAGCTTCCTTGGTGGTGCAGGAGGAGGAGCAGGAGGAGGAGGAGGAGTCTATAGAGGTAAAAGAGTGTTTACTATTGCCAGTCAGTTTGAAAAGAACAGATGTGTGTTTGAACATGCATTATCTCCTGTGACTTCTTAGAACAGACTGAACTCCTGATGTTTTTTGCTGCAGGTGGAGTTGCAGGATGCCGGGGCAAATTCTGTGGCAGGAGGAAGTAGAGGATCTCTTGAGATCCAGCGTGACCTCAAGACACCATGGTGCTACTGCATGATCTAGAATGTACATTTTATATGCAAACAAACCCCGTTAGAAAACATGTAAAGATGTTTGGTTTTTTTACTTACTTGACTTCATCGCCTGTTTTTATACAAACCCACCGACCCAGAATTTTGTACACGCTCCGGTGTGACGTATGTTAGTTGCAGCTTTAACTCCCCGTACTGCACCAGCCCACTTAGAATACAAAGAGTGTGTGTATGTGTCACAGTGTGTTGTTGTTGTTGTGCATGAATGTGCGTGTGTTTCGTGTATGGTTGTACTGTTGTGCGAAAGACTGACTGAACCATCGACTGTCAATGTGACCTATGAATGATTTCTCTTTCCACTGAGGTGAACTGTCCTCAGTGTCACAGCCCACACTGTCGCACCTCGCTGTGCAGAGCTTGTCATCTCTCTGACATGTCAGAGGGGTTGGGTTGGTCGAGGCTCGTCCGAAAACTGAGGAAATCTGGCCAATCTCAGTGTCGTCTCTTGCTCCCCGTTTTCTCTGCTGCTATTCTTAGGCCTGCTGGGTATAAAGCAGCGGGAATTGGGGCTCTGGCCAACCCATCTGCTCTCAGTAACTTTGCTGATTCTAGTTGCTATGCAGTTCAGTTTTCTCTGCATTTTTAATGTTGCCAAACTTGTGATGTATGAAGAGCAGTTTCTGCTCTGAGGAACGACATGCTGAAGATGTTACACGATGTTTAAAAAACATGGGAAAGCCTTCCAAGTATAGATTAATACGTAACTCGGATACTACTCTGGCATTTACATTATGTATGTGTGAATGTTTCATGATGTCTCTTGAATAGAGCGCCGTAGTCTGCTTCAAATGTTTAGTCTCATTGCAGCAGTTATTTACATTTATGTAACTTGTCATTACATGATTATTCAAGATTGTTTGCACCATTCTTTGACTCATAGCTTTATTGTTATCAGGAATGTGTGAACATCCTTTGCTTTTGCATTTATTCAGTGTTTAGAATTGTAATACAGAATAAGACTTTGTTTAATGGGAGAGACAAAGTGTTAATGTGAGGCATGAGCACCCATTGTTCTTCATTTACTTGAGCTGCTTTTAAAAAGGCCAAACTGACCAAAGGTGCATGAGCGCTGTTGCCAAGTGACCCCATCTCTCTCTGTAATTGTGTACTGTATTTTGTACTAATTTGATAAACGCTGGCTTCGGTTCCTTCACTCGGTGCTGTGTAAGAAATGTCTTTGAGCCTCGCTGGGTCAGACCTTGTCTTATGTGCCAAGGGATACCCTTCATCTTTATTTAAAGCTGTTTTTATAAGGAGGAACAGTGTGGTTTTGCACTTTTTATATTTCCACGACACACATGTGACTTGTTCCTGGAATCCAGCATTTATTTGCTTCATTAAATAACAAAATACAATGTGTTAAAAGATCTGGTGTTGTCCGTTTTGTTTTAGTTTTTCTTCACGAGTGCATTCCACTGCAGCAGCAGCAGCAGTTTGTCCTGTGAGTTGATGAAAACCACCTGGCTCAGAGTGGCCAGAGTGGCTCATAGATCAGTTTGCTATAAGCCACATACCACAAAGCAATAATATCTCAGGTGTAAGTCTTGTTGCAACAGTTCTGCTACATCTTTTCTGTTTGTCCCAATGGGCAAAATTAATCAGGAACCATCAGATTTAATGTATTTCAAGATCAGATATGTGAAAAAGTTGGCAGAGCTCTTCATTGTAATGACAACAAACAGATTAGGGGCAGACATTTTGCCTCAGTGGTAACTTCACTGACTGTTATTGTTGTGCCAGCTGGAAATAATGAACTCATGTTGCTGTTCTCTGAAGATCTCCTGGGAGAACCACTGACCCATGATCTGCATCCTGTAGAAGTAGCTTACACTTTTGTTCCAGAAGTCTAATAACGTCCCACTTTAGAAATAGTGTCACAGCGGAACTGCAGTATAATGCTGTAATACATGTCTGTGCTAGTACAGTGTATAACTAGAGTAACTTGGTGGTACCAATAATTGGGAAAACATTTTTTGGCACTGTCCTGTTAATGTTTGTTGCCATTAGATGACGTTGTGTTGTTCTTGGATTAAATCTGAGAAAATATTTCTTCATCTTCAACTTTTTACTTATTCCTCCCTATGTGTTGAATTGTGTGCTTGCCTGTAGAAAATCACACATTTTTACATGTTCAGCCTCCCTCTGACAGAAAGATTCAACTAATTTCACATTTTACAAGTCTCAGTCGCTTTCAGTGCACACTGCAGCTCATCAGCTGACATTTCAACCAATTTCACTACTTGCAGTACACTTAAACTGCTTTTATCTCTGACTCTTTAACATTTGAGCTGCTTTTATCTTTTACTCTCTTTCAAATAAATTTAAAAATTATTGTTTCAAAAAGCTATGTTTTTCTATGCTTTCCTTCTTTACAATTAAAAATATCAGTAAAATAAATAGAGGTTCAATTATTAAGCGGTTATGTGTTATTTCTAAGCCCCACACAGTGGTGTTCACCGCACTGCACTGGGTCCCTCCTCCCCGCCCCTAAAGCCACGCATTAATTAATAGCAGGGAGGGGTTCCTGGTTGGCCGGCTCGTGTCCACCTCTCCCCGGCTCAGCTGCTTCATTGGTCAGCAGCTCTCTTGAATGAAGCGCCGCAGAAACGTGCAGCCAGCCAGGAGGAAGCTGTGTGGGCCGCCGCAGGGAGGGACCGAAAGCACAGCAACACGACCCCCGAGCGGGCTGCTGTGGTGGTGGTGGTCGGACACCGGTTATCTGTCGACCTGAGGTGGCTGGCTCTCTGTCGGAGCTCGGTGACGGAGAGTGAATGAGGTTGATGCTGCTCTGCTGCACCTGGAAGGACGAACGCATGGGAGAGGAGGAAGGTAAGGACCGCTGGCTGCGTGGGGCGGAGGGGCGGGAGAGGAAGAGACAGCGGAACCGATGCTCCGCCGAAACTGGCACTTAGCATCATGCTTTCCACTGTGTTTTTCCTACTTTGTGCGTCGCTTTTCGTCAATCGCACTCAGACAACTGTGCAGCAGCATGGGTTGCATGTGCAGCGTCAGGCTCTATGTCATGAAGACATGTTTTCTCTCGAGTTGATGCACCCCTCATGTTTGGATGCAGCGGTCACCCTCAGGCCATACACAGTAGTCATTTCATCTAAGATGTATACATATATTCTGCTTATAAACAGCAAGTTACATTAATACAACTAAACCGAGGACTGTGGTGTGATTAATGCAAAATGACACAGTTTTATAAGGTGCAGCTTGAAGTTATTGTCTTGCCAAACATCACTTAAAGGTGCTTCAGAGTTGAAGGGATGAGGAGCTGCAGCTCCTTTGGCAATTGCACATCTAATAGCATCAGAGATTACAATCTCCCCCCAACGATCCTCAACTATCTCCTTCTTTGTGAAGGGTATTGATTTAATTATGTCTCTCAGTAGAAGATAACAAAGTTTTACCTCAATCTAATTTGTTGAGAGGATCATTAACTGAAGAAATCATTCTGGCACAATGGTTTCCGACCTGGCACCCACCATGAGTACGGGTTGTGAGATGATTAAGTATATTCATGCTACATAAAGCAATGTTCTGTTTTTAATTTACCTCTAATCTTTTTTTATTTGTAAATTACTTTATTTTTACCTTTGAGGACCATCGGTTGTGTCATAAATCAGTGGAAAGGACCCAACAGAAATCGGAATAGGGTCATTTATCTTAAGGAGGTGGAGGTGAAGGAAGAAGACAGTATTAGGATGCTGTT